ACATGCACAATATACTGTACTAAATGAAGAATAAATGACACTTATTTTTATTGAAGATGTAGTGATGAGTGATGGGACACTGTTTTTCTTGAACACTCTGGGATTTTCAGAGTGATATATGAGTAAAGGCTTCACTTTGCAATCCCCACTAGCATTACAAGAAAACATGAGAGTTAGCCTGTCTTTCATAGGGTTGTGTCCTGGGAGTGCCTTTTCCTCATGAGTAATGTAGGTCCTGTTTGGCATTTTCTTCCAGAACAGGCCTGTTTCGTCACAGTTAAACACTTGTTGGGCTTGGAATTTTTCAGCTTCACCATGCCTTATCACACTGTGTATGCCACTACAATTCTTAAATCTCTCAAACCAACCTTTGCTGGCTTTAAATTCAGCTTTAAATCCAGGCATTTTTTCCTGTTCACCTGAGTGTTAGTCAACTGGTGTGGGTCGCATCCTGGGAACAAGATTAAGGACCACAATGGAAATAAGTTAGACGTCCTCGATGACGCACTGACTTTGTTGGGTTATCCTGTGTGGCTAACCCTCTGGGGTTAATTGTTTCTCGTTAAGCCACACCAACAGCAGTCTCTCCACATTTTCAAGTAGTACAGCTGACGGTGGTGCAGCAGCAGCTGACCATGGTACAGCAGCAGCAGCAGCAGCAGCAGCAGCAGCTGACCGTGGTACAGCAGCAGCAGCAGCAGCAGCAGCAGCTGACCATGGTACAGCAGCAGCAGCAGCTGACCATGGTACAGCAGCAGCTGATGGTGGTGCAGCAGCAGCTGGCAGTGGTACAGCAGCAGTTGGCAGTGGTACAGCAGCAGCAGCAGCTGACCATGGTACTATAGTATTTCAATAGTATTTCTCACCCTTTTTACCACAGGGTTGGCACTAGAAGCTTTTGTTGGGCCCATGGTGGCTTATTTAGCAGTTACAAGCACTAAAAACAATGGAATAATACAAAATTTATCGAATGTATGCGTGCAACCATCCGCCCTGGCTTGTAAACAATGGCACTAGTTGAGCTGAGGCGCTCTGGCCAGACAGACCGCATTTGGGACATATGATGTAAGTCAAGTTTTTCTTCATAGGTCGGGTAAAATTTTTTAAGCTGAAACACTTCGTAAGTAGATTTTATTGTAAGATGAGGCCTTCATAAGTTGGGGCTTCACTTTACTTTCCATCTTGAAACCAATATCAAAATCACCTCTAATTCTGTAAAATATTTTCCATTCTATCAAATGAGGCCCAAAAAAAACGAGAATACAACTATAAAAACCATACGAAAACGCACCACAAAGTCGTTGTTTTACACCAAAATCACAGTCGCAATTTTTTGTAATTATACACTGCGCGGTGCAAGGATTTTTTTTATATATGTACTGCACACTTACCACACAGACATATTCTCTCATATCTAGGTCCAAATTTACCTGTCACAGTTTATCTGAAAGAGCTGAGCTCATGGCATCATACTACGGGACTGACAATGGCTCCAAAGCAGTGTTACCGTGGGACCGACAATAAAAGGGTTAATAAAGTTAATAAATTTGACTTACAAGAAAGTTCATCACTGCTGCTTTCCAAGTGAAGAGCTGAAATTTACAACTCAACACCTTCACTTACACATAGCCTAAACCACTTCATCAGAATTTGATCTAGTTCTGAACTTTTTCCTTCTTTCATTTGTAGATGAATGGTTCAGAGAACCGACATGGTGATAAATTAGACACATGTGCAACTCTTGGGTATCTTTATTGAGGAAACGTTTCGCCACACAGTGGCTTCATCAGTCCATACAAAGGAGAATCTTGAAGAACAGGAGGAGAATGAGGGAATTCTTCGCTTGCCTAATTCTTGGGCACGACCTACTTCCACATTGAACAAATGTGACACCACCTATGACTGCTGCACCTCTCCTACCAACAGTTTATAAGCTCCTTCTCCACACGTATGCCGTATTCTATTCAAGATTGATGGACTGACCACATCGACTCAAGGTTGAGGGACTGATTACCTCATTCTCCTCCTGTTCAAGATTCTCCTTTGTATGGACTCATGAAGACGTTTCCTCAATAAAGATACTCAAGAGTTGCACATGTGTCTAATTTACCTTCTTTCATTGTTTGCCTTTTACACATCTATGAGAATCACTATTAGCAAAGAAACCATGTAATTTTTCTTTCTGTTTTTTTGTCATAAACCATACAAGAGCCAGTACTATGTAATTCACAATATAATTCACACAAGCTTCTCACAGACACACACCTATCCAGTATTTTCAGAAGTTCAACCTTATGATTTATGGATAATGTACTGTGCTTGTGCTTTACACAACGAGAAGCATTTCCTTTATTCACTGGAACCATGGCTGGGGTTAAAAGTGAGCAGGTTATAACACTAAATGGAAAAAAACAAACTGGAATGGCTTGACTGTGTTTGCAAGTAGTGCCTCCAAACTGTAGCGGCAGGTTAGTGCAGTGACCTGGGAAATTTGAAATTACACTAGTCGAAATTAGTGCCGGAATAATGATGGAACCGGATTAGTGATTGCCGGATCATTGATGGCTGACCTGAAGTAGTTATAATAATCTAACAATGGAAAGAAAGCTTATTGACTAGTCATATAGTAGCAAAAGTGTACATAGTCTCATGTGTTGTGGAGGGCAACTAAAAAGTTAAGTGAGTGCCTGGTTTTTTTCCCTCTTCATGAATTAACCCTTTGACTGTTTCCGACGTATAAATACGTCTTACGAGCCAATGTTTCTGACGTATTTATACGCATAAATTCTAGCAGCTTCAAATCAAGCAGGAGAAAGCTGCTAGGCCCACATGTGAGAGAATGGGTCTCCATGGTCAGTGTGCACCATATAAAAAAAATCGGGGAGCCAGTGGTGCATTGTGGGAATGCCATTTCAGTTGTCCATTTTTCAGCATGTCTAGTGGTAAAAAAATATGTGATTCCCCAGCAAATCTGGGACTCTTCTCTTCCCAAGTGATGCTCTAACACAGATGGAAGTGTCAGTGAAGATCAATTTCATGATTTGGAGGATTTTTGAGACCAAAAGCAATGGAGGAGGAGGAGGGGAGGAAGAGGAGGGGGAGGAGGGAAGGAAGAGGAGGAGGGAAGGGAAGAGGAGGAGGAGGAGAAGAGGAGGGAAGAAGAAGATGTAATAATATTGTTCCCTTGAAGCAAGAAAAAAAAAAGTCCACCCCATGACAGTGACAAGATAAGGGGAGTAACATCTGAAAAGAGCTGACTTTGATGAGCGTAAAGGAGGGTAATTTTTACATGACCATGCCCCCTTTGTTTTTGCTGGTACACAAACATTTCTGTCTGTCATTTGTCTGTCTTGGGGCAAGCTCCCTGTCTGTCCATCTACCCTTTTCGGTTTCCAGAGAGACCCAACAAGACTGTGTCATCACGTTTACCCCACATCTTCAAGCAGAGTATAGCACTTTGTCGGGATTTCTTGGGTTATCCTAGGTAATTTTTACACTATGTATATTTTGTATTTTATGTGTACCTGTGAGACAGAGATAGGCAGACAGAAAGAGAGAAAAGATTGAAAGATATAGAATGAGGGAGAAAGATAATTAGATAGAATGGAGGAGGGGAAGCAGCATCCGACCCCATTTTTTTTGACGGGGGTTTGGGGAAAGTGACTAATGAGATAATATGTCACTTTGACAGCTGGCCGACTTCTGACTCAAAACAATTATAAGCCACACACTCGCACACAAGGAGGAGGAGGAGAAGGAGGAGAAGGAGGGGGAGAAGGAGAGAAGGAGGAGGGAGGAGGAGAGAGGAGGAGAAGAAGGAGAAGGGGGAAAGAAGGAGGAGGAAAAAGGAGAAGAAGGAGGAGAAAGAGGAGAAGGAAAAAGGAGGAGGAGAAGAAGGAGGAAAGAAGGAGAAGAAGGAGGGGGAAAAAGGGAGAAGAAGGAGGAGAAGAAGGAGGAGAAGAAGGGGGAGAAGGAGGAGAGAAGGGGGAGAAGAAGGAGGAGAAAAAGGAGGAGAAGGGGAAAAGGAAGGAAAAGAAGGGAGAAGGAGAAAAAGGGAAAGAAGGAGAAGAAGAAGAAGGAAGAAAAAGGGAAGAAGGAGAAGAAGAAGGAGAAGAAAAAGGGAAAGGAGAAGAAGAAGAAGGAAAAGAAGAAGAAGGAGAGAAAAAGAAAAAGGGAGAAGAAGAAGAGAAGAAGGGAAGAAGAAGAAGAGAAGAGAAGGAGAAGAAGAAGAAGGAGAAGAAGAAGGAGAAGGAGAAGAAGAAGAAGGAGAAGAAGAAGAAGGAGAAGAAGAGAAGAAGAAGAAGAGGAGAAGAAGAAAAAGGAGAAGAAGAAAGGAAAGGAAGAAGAAGAAGGAGAAGAAAAGGGAGAAGAAGGAGAAGAAGAAGAAGGAGAAGAAGAAGAAGGAGAAGAAGGAGAAAGAAGAAGGAGAGAAGAAGAAGAAGAAGAAGAATTGTTTTGTTTGTTTGTTTGTTTGTTTGTGTAACAAGTTTTGTAAACAATATATTGATAATTATGTTTGTGTGTTTATTGTGTTGTATACACGAGTGTATATATATACATTGCACCTTACTTTGGTCTCATAGGCCACATAAGTTATGTGAAAAAATAAAATAGTGAAAAAAACAACAAACCTTCAAATACAAGTAAACTAAAGTTTACCGGGTGAGCGGCAGTCGCCGCTGTTGCCATACGCGGCTCATTTTCTGCAAACTTCACGGCTCTATATCTCGGTAAGTACCAATGGCAAAAAATTTTTTTTTGGACTAAAACACTCAGAAAAATAATCTTAACATTTTCATAAGAAAAAATAATTTTTTTTTTTTTGAATATTTGGCGACATAGAATGACAGTTTCAGAGAGGGGCCTGAAACAGTCAAAGGGTTAAACAAACACCACAGAGATGTTACAAAAATTTTACACTGCAAGCTTTTATTTTTTATAAATTCTATTATGCTGTTATTTTTAATCACTGCCCTTGCTTCCCTGTTTGTCATTTTCAGGTGGTGACTTTTGATATGGGGGGAGTCAGTGGCCACATCAACCACTCGGCACTATTTTCTGCTGTTCAACACTTGGTAGAGGAGGAATTTTTACCAGAAAGTGAGCTCTCATTATTTTCAGTGGTTTCCAAATTATTCATGCAAAGTGCAACTTATCATAGTATTACAATTATATTAAAAATATTATTATTTGCCATATCATAAACAACAGTGTTTTCATTCACACTTCTGGAAATTTAAGATATTTATAAAATTTTCTTGTTTACACCCTACAGCATGTGAGGCATTCTCTCTTGACTCGGTAAATATTCTGCGAAAATACTCTTCTCTTCTTGATGTTCCACTCAGCTATGCACTTTCTTCATGTGCCTTCACTGTAGACCGTAAAAGACATTCTATTTTACAGGTAAGAGTTTTTTTCCCTGATATGATAGAGGATTCCCCATATTTATTACCTGATTTACTAATTAATTTGATTATCTCCCAGCAATGTCACTGAGGTATTCAGGGAGAGTCACTGCTACAAGTTTGCTAGACACCACACATGAAGACAATAATATAGGGAATGCTGTCTGTGATACCTTATGGATACCAATGTCTCCTAATCTGAAGTGTAGCTTGGTTCCACCACCCATCTTCTAGAATAAGGTTGAGTACTTCTTTGACTCTAGGTATAGGTTGGTAGACAGAAACCGCCCAGGGAGGTACTACGTCCTGCCAAGTAAGTGTAAAACGAAAGACTGTAATTGTTTTACATGAAGTAAAAGTAGCAAGACATACCTGAAATCTTGCATGTTTATGAGACAGAAAAATGGACACCACCAATCCTACCATAAGTAGGATTGCTGGTGTCCATTTTTCTGTCTCATAAACATGCAAGATTTCAGGTATGTCTTGCTACTTCTACTTTTCACTTAGGTCACACTACACATACATGTACAACATGCATGCATATATATACATATATATAATTTATATACATATAATCATATACATATATATATATATATATATATATATATATATAAAATATATATATATTATATATATATATTATATATATTTATTTTATTTATTTATTTATTATTTATTTTTTTTAATTATTTTTATTTTTCAACAAGTCGGGGGCCCTCTCCCCGAGGGAGGG